TCCAAAATGAAAGGAGAATAGAGGGTCTGCTCCAGGTTAGACACAGAGAGGTCTGAGACTGGCCGCGTGAGCCCTGGATTGGGTCCTGCAGCGGGGAAATTGCTACACTGGACATTTTGGGTAGAATTGGTGACATCAGAATGTGGACTACAGAGGAAGAGTTATACCAATGTCAAATTTTCAGATTTTATAGCTGCAATGTAAGACAATATGTTTTTTCTTAGAAATCTATGACAAAAGACTTAGTGGGAAAAGTGTGATGTACATAACTTATTCACTAATACTCTGGGAAATGTATACATGTGTGTGCATATGTAAGAGACTATTAAAAAGCAAATGAATGATGAAATGAAAAATGTTAGTTTTGGTAAATATGTGTGAAGAGTAAATAGTGCTTCATTGTAATATTTTTGCAATTTTCCATAAATTGGAAAAGAGTTCCAAATAAAAGTTGAACAAGAAAACATAAGGAAAAATCATAAAAAAGATTTGATTTAATAAAAATTAAAAATGACTATACCTTGAAAGAAATGATAATAACATTTAAAGGTTAAATAACAGAAATGGGAAAATAATAGAATTTATATATGTAATACAAAATCTATCAAATGGGCACTGATAAATCAACAAGAAAATATAAAAGATTCATATTTTAAGAAGTGGTAATAGATTTAAAATGTACTTAATAGGGAAATAAATGGTATGGAATGAAATACAAATGCTAAAGCCTCCGGAAGAGATCATTGTTTTATAGTTAACCAAATAAATGCAGATTAAGTGAAAACAAGGAATTTGTGAACGTTGACAATGTTAGGGCAGACTTAAATCCCAGCCACACAGTGTAGACCAAAATAAATTCTCGATAGACTAAAAAGAAAAAGTTGAAATGTGCAAGAAACTAGATGAATAATTGTCTATTGTCAGAGGGAGAAGACTTTGTAAGCATAAAATAACAAGAAATTATCAAGGGAAAGATACCTGTATCACATCAAAAGACATACAATGATCAGGACTCATCCAGGACGGGGTGGCATGGTGAAGAGCTTCCCCACTGCGATTTATCTGGTAATACTAGCCAGTGCCCCTCTTAAAGGTCCAGTGTACAGAGATTTGCATTTGAAAACCAACGCAACCTGGTCTTTCTTAACAAATTAAGGCCTCCGAGGGTCTCTGCTCTGCTCCTGTGAGCGTTGCTAATGCTGGCACAGACCAGTTGGCCCACCCTGGCATTCTGTTCTTTGTTTTGATACACCAAGTAAATAAAGGAATGGTATTCAGGTGTGGCCAGAGGACAATAATAGAAAGGAACAACAGGCATGCCCCGAGGCTGATGACATAACAGGGGTAATAATAGTGCTGGGACAATTTAGTGCTTAAAAGATAATTTGATTGCTTGACTTCTACGCCCATATTTCCAAATTCGTTACAAATGTGATGAATTATATGACTATTCTTTTATTGCCCAGTAAATTGTTATGGGAAGCGCAGGAGATTAAAGTGAAAGGATAGGGTTTTGATTTTCTAGAAACAAATTTTAATTTTTCTTACAATCAAGTTACAGCTTTATCTGAGCTCAATATTATTACATGGCATTCCCCTTGCGCATGATAGAAATAGAATAACTCATGGATATATACTACATTTATTAACTTAATCAAATCACTAATCTTTAGAAATATTTTGTTACCAGTTAGTACAAAATGTACTTAGAGAAGAGGAAGCCCATTTGGCAAACACGTGTGAGATGGTGAGACAGAATAATTGTGTGTGGTTGTTTTTCCAGCACATAATAGAGTAGCCACAAGATGCTGACTTTGGGCCTGTCTGGTTTATTTCCTCAATCATCCACATTGGTGTGTAATAGATGTTCAGTGATTATTTGTCAAATGATACTTTAGTATAAAAGTAACATGAAAATACCTAATTGAAGAGAAGGACTTCACTCAGCTGTCTTCTGGAAGACCTGACCTTTTGCAGACAACATGTCTAATCTTTTTAAAAAATGTTCTATGAAATGTCATTCACATGTGAACTAATTTGCCTCTTTAAAGTATATGATTTAATAGTTTCTATTATATTCCAGATTGTACAGCCATCATCATAATCAATTTCAAAACATCTTCATCACCTCCAGTAGGATCTCTGCACACATTAGCAGTGAATCTCCATCCCTCTAATTAAGACAGCGACTAATTTATATTCTCTGTCTCTATGCATTTGCTTATTCTGAACATTTCATGTAAATGGAATCATACCTCTGTGGAGAGACCACATAATATTATTCACTCATTAGTTGATGGATAATGAGCTGTTTACACCTGTTGGCTATTGCAAATAATGTTGCTACAAATAATATTTTATGTGAACATATTTTCACTTTTATTTTTTATTTGCATATATAACTAAGAGTAGAATTACTGGGCTATGTGGTAATTTTATGTTTGACATTCTGAATGACTGCTGGAGTGCTTTCCAACGTGACTGAACTCTTTTACATCCCCAGCAGCTATGTGTGAGGATTCCAGGTTTTCCATATCTTCACCAACCCTTGTTTTTGCCTGTCATTTTGGTTACAGTCATCCTAGTGGGTATGAAGTCATACCTCATTGTGGTTTGATTTGCATTTTCCTAATGACGAACAATGTTGGGTATCTTTTAATGTGTATTTATGTCCTTTGGAGGAATTTCTATTGAAATTATTTGCACATTTGAAAATCAGATGATTTAATAATAAAAATAAATTTTAGAATGTAAAAATTGCTGGCCTTAATAGAGAGTGAAGGAGGGAGGAGGAGGTGGGAAGAAGATGTGGAACCTGAGGCTTTGACCTCGGCTGATACGTACGCGGATGTGGAAGGGGAAGGCGTAGCGCCAAATTCATGTAATCGTGTAAGTGGTCAGCAAATCAATAAAATTTAAGGAAAAAAAGGCTTACTGTTGAGGGTAAGAGCTTTCTATATGTTCTGGATCCAAGTCCCTTATTAGAGATACAATTTGCACATCTTGCAGACTAACTTTATCTTTTCTTGATGGTGTCTTTTGTAGCAAAAGCCTTTAATTTTGATGAAATCCAATTTAGTTTTCCCCTTTTGATGTATTTTTATCATATCTAAGACACCATTGATTAATCTAAGGTCACACAGATTTCTTTTTATGGTCACTTCTCAGAATTTTTCAGTTTTTTTTTTTTTTTTACATAGATTGTGATCTTTGTGTACGGTGTCAGCTAGGGTCCAATTTTATTCTTTTGCTTATGTAATCAAGGCAGTGAATTACCAGCATCAGACTATCTCTATCTAGAGCTATCTCTGGATATATATGCCTGTATCTCAACAGACTAGAATTGAGATTCCAGAAACAAACTCTTACATTCATGGTTAATTGTTTTTTGTTTTTTTTTTGACAAGAATGTTATGACAGTTTAATGGGGAAAGACTGGATTTTCAGCAAATGGTGCAAGGACAACTGGTATATTTTCTATTGTCCTTGAGAATAAATTAATCTTTTAGAGACAAATCTTTTCTGTTGTCTTTGAGAATAAATCACTCTTTTAAGAAACAAATCTTAAGATCATCATTGTCTCACAATGATAATGACAATGCAATGAACAAATGAATCAAAGGAGAATCAATTGTCTAGACTTAATTTTGACTATTAAGCAAAGATCTAAAGGGTATGATGGAAGCCTAGGGCTGTGAGGACAGAAGTGAGAGTTTAAAGGTGAGGAAGTACAGTTAAAAAAATCCCAAAAAACATATTATCTTTTGCTCCAAGACATTACGTGGTTTTGTAGCTCAAAAGAATGAAAACGTTTTTGGCTCCATGTAACCAGAAAAACTGATTAAAGGAAAAAAAAATTTAAGGAAACATGGGCATCTACCAATTATCTTGCAGATCAGCTCAGATGTTAAAGCATCAGGTATGATAAAGGCAACTCATTAATCAAAAGTGGGTGTTGTATAGACATAAGGAAAATGCTAAGAAGACTACAGACAGAATCAAGTAAACTTGAAGAAATGAGAGAAGAATGTACAGTCTGAAGTACCGTCCCTGTAAAATGACATGAAGATTATAGAGTAGTTGATTTGCCTTTAGGAAAGAAAGTAGATTACTGAGTCACCAAAAGCCTACTGAGAACAAATGAGGCATATAAGTAGAGAGGAGGTGATGGAGCTCTTCATGGTGTAGATGGTGGTGATGGTTTCATGAGTATAGACTTATCTTCAAGTTCATCAAGTTAAACACTACGTCCAATGGTTGTATATGTCAATCATAAAGTGATTTATAAATACATAAAGACTTAAAAATGATACAAGTCACACTTAATGTAATTTTTTACATTGATTAGATTTGAACCTTCTAGTAGAGGACAACTGCATGCTGACTTCCACAAGGCAACTCATCAAGGCTCTTGCTATGAAGGACGGAACAGAGGCACCACCTGCCAGACCCCTTTACCACCAACTTTGTTTTGGGGCCCTCTTCTGCATCATCTTTAGTTTTCCTTTTAGACCCATTTTTAGAGGCATCAAAATTTAGGGGTGACACCTATTGATGGTCCACTTTCTCCATTTCTTTCAGTATGTGAGTTTGAAGAAATCAGAAAGCTTGGTGAAGAAACTGACTTAATTTTATGAGCTAGGTCACTGTTACACGATGAGGAAATCAGTCAGAATTTTTTTTCTACGAGTATACTGATATTTTCCTTAAGTTTGTGCATGTGTACTAGACTGGACTGATATTTTGTGTTTTGGGGATTTTACGCTTGTGCCCACAGATTATTTTTGGATGTTTCTGTGGCCCTCACCCTATCGAAGGTGAGAAAGTTCACTTGAGACAAAAAAAACGAGGCATATTCTAACCTGGTAGTAGTTCTCTAATCTTTCCTCGAAAATCCTGGGCAACTTGATTACATTTCATAGGAGTGAATCCTTGACATTTCCCACTGTATTTCTGACCAACATTTAAACCACGGCCACTCACCTCAACCTGCAGCCATTCTTCCTTTCTCTCTGAATTGCCTCTGGCTCTTCTCAAGGGCTCCCACAACAGCCATCAGCAGCCAAGGCCTTTTCAAAGGCTCACCAGCCCCAGGAGGGAGGAAGGAGAGAAGGCATGCTTGCTGTCCTTCTGGATAGTTTTCAGTAAACCCAAACATACTCTACAATGGAAAAGGAAAAAGAAAAAGAAGTAGGCACAGGTGTTCAGGCCTTTCCAGCGCAGCTGAGGAAGCCCGAGGAGGCACTGAGCAGGGTAGAGAATGGGACGCAGGAGAGAGGGTGAAGGTGGCCCAGGACTCGGCCCTCTGGCCTGGACGTGTCGGGAGCTAATGCCTGGCAGGGCTTAGCCTTTCCCTCTGCTCCCCAGACTCTCTTCCCTTGGCTTCCAAATAAAATGCCAGCAAAATCCCTGCACTACGGGTTTTCTCACCCATGTCTGCGAGGGGCTTTTCTAGAGTGAGTTGCATGACCCAAGCACACTGGGTGGGGGTGAGGGTGACCCCTCTCACAGAGACCCTCAGGAGTTGGGGGGTGGGGGTGCCGCCAGGCATGGAGTAGCCACGGCGTCCAGCCACGTGGGTATCTCACCACCATCGCTGTAGCCTCATTTTGCACCCTACTACAGCCAGATCTGGTCAGGCTGCTGGCCCACGGCCTGTGCAGGCTGTCGAGGTGCCCGGACTCAGAATTGCAACAGGGTAACAGAGCCACAAGGAAAAATACAAGAAAGGTACGTTCCAACTTGTCCTTCGTGTTCCCTGAAGAATAATCAGAAAATTAGGTGATCACACCCCACCGCACCCAGGGTGAGCGAGTAGCTGAAGGGAGAATCACTCACAGGCTCGCGCTCGCAGGTCGCGTGTGCCGAGAGGAGCTTCGCGTTGGTTCCAGGCGATGCCAAGAGCCATGGGCTTTTTTATTCCTCTCACAGGAACTTCTGAGGGGAGAGAAGGGCCAGTCACCAGGCTCTCGGGGAGAAGAACAGGCAGGAAATGCCAGGGAGGGGAGGTAGCCCCTCTCTGCTCTCCTGGTGTGATGTCTCTGGGGGTACAGTGGCTCCTGAAAGCCCATTAACTCAGCACCTGGAGGTGGTTGTTGGGGCGACCACAGAGGGGCAGAGGGAAAGGCTCAAATCCACGACTTTTAAAGCTCATCTATATAATGGAAGACCACCTAGATGTTTAATTAATCACAGGATGGATAAGTACTTACGGCACATTCACCTAGTCATCAAAAGTTATTTTAGGACCAAATTTTAAAATATGGAGAAATTCTTCAGTGGAGGTACTGAAGAAAAAACAAGGCATCAAACTACAAATGTTATGTGAGCTAACAGAGAGAAATTGTGAACTTTGATAGGATTAGAATTTTTATTTATATTATTACATTATATTATTTTACATATTATATTTATAATATTTATCATGTTGTTATCTTAATATTTGTAGTATATGGTGATAATATTAATATATAACTATATTTATTCAATATATTAAATTTATATTTTATTATGTACTATATATTATTAAATTTCTATTATTTTCTCAAATGATGTATATTAATTAAAACTCACTTATATTGTAGTATCTAAAATTTCTGATCATTTTCCTAATTCAAAACTTTGATGAGTTTTACAGTTATCTTCTCAATTATGCTATTATTCTGTGGGTTAAATCTGACTCCTGAGAACTCAATTTCATATTTGCAGGTTAAATGCTCTTTCATGTCCTTTAGACCTCGCTGATTCTCTGGTTTGTAGTGTGAACTCAGCTGAGAGAAAAGAAAGAAGTTGTGGATTAAGAATTTCACCACTTTAACATTTTGCTGATCTAAGGCTTCCATCTGGAGTGGGCAGCAGTCTGCCTTTTGGATGGAATGACCGACTGAGTGTGCCAAGTTAGGAGTCTTGATCTCTTTCTGAAGGACTGTTTCATGAATAACACTGTGCCACATCTAAGCGCATGTCTACCACAGTGCTCCGGATTCTGGCTTCTGGGTGGTGTTTGAAAGGGAGCATGGTCTCTACCCAGCGCTGGTCAAGGGGTCTCTGCTGAAATTGCATAGTTGGCCGGGAGCTCCTCTCTGGGAATTCAATGGCAGAGCCTGGTTTTAGGGCAGCAGCGTGAGCGAACTACCTTCCGAATCCCTTAAAAATCCTCTAAGGACGTGTTAGCCTCCTGAATAAAACTATGTTTTGAAAACAAACCAAACCAATTTTGAGCTATGGTGATAGGTGATATTGAGTGAGTTTTGCTAGTGAGTGAAATCCAGGGAAAGAGAGAGGGAGGGAAGGGCAGAGAAGGAGGAAAGAAAGAGGGGAGAGAGAAAGAGAGAGAGAGAGAGAGAGAGAGAAAGAGAGAGAAAGGACAGTGAGGTAATTGCGGGGGGGGGGAGTGAGGGCTGGGGAAGGAGATGAGGAAGACAGAGATGAGGAGAAGGATGAATGAAGATGCAGCATGATAAGAGGGGAGAGAGAATTTGTTTTTTGGCCAGGCTTTGTCTCAGGTGTCAGAAGAAGTAACTCAATGGCAGGCTGCTCAGTAGCCTGCCTACTGGGGTGGGATGCCTGTGGGGTACCGTCATAATTGGGAGGCCTTGGAGCCATAAAGAAAGTTGTTTGCCACCAGATTCCTGCTTTTCTGTCTCAGCGACCCTGCACTTTGTCTGTGACTGCAGCTGCCACACTCACTGGGTTGAGAGAGGCCACAGAGACATTCCTTTGGGCTTGGGTGTCTTCCCTCTGTGAACTCTGAGCTGACACATTTCACAGTGCTCCCGGCTCTATAAGTAGCTCCAGAAGAACAAGGTATAGACACAGGAGGCCTGGGCCTTCCTAGCAGCTCTTCAGAAAGCCTTCGAGGACTTAGCAGGTGCGGAACACTCAGCAGAGAGAGACCGTGTGAGTGGAACTCTGTTCTAAACATGATAACACAGTCTTGGAGATAATTACTTTCTTTTAAAACTCATTGACTTAATGACCATAAGTGTATGTCTTTTCCCCTCTCTGTCTTACAGGCTCATTCTGATTCATGGGCATTTGAAAGTCAACACTCTCTCTCCCAGTTTCTGCAGGCTGTGGGGCTGAGCTGTTCCACGGGGCTCTCCCCTCTGCTGTGTGATACTGAGTCGACGTCATCGGAGATAGGCCTCCACTGGGCAAGGGCCTCGGGCTTCCAGGTATGTGGAGGGAGGAAGATGACCTGCTGCTCATGCTGGTGCAGCTGGGGGCTGGTGCAGCTGGGGGCTGGCGCACCTGGGACTGAAGCTGTGTCACCAATCTTTGTTGGGGTCAAAGCTTTATTCTTGGCTCAGAGAGAGAGGAAGGAGCTGAAGTATGGTCTTGCCTCCTCCCATGGCCTGACTAAGAGCGACCTAGCCAGGGCCATGGGCTCTGGTTTTCTCATCTGTCCTCTTGGGATGCTGCTCTGTGGGACTTACTGGAAGGACTGAATGAGTCAGTGGGTGTGGAAGAGCCTTAGATGTATTAGCTAAGTCCCCCGCAGATGTTGACTGATGGAATCCATTCTGTAAGCTAGGTGTCAGAGAACCATATTCTTCTTCTCTCTAAATTGACATTTTAGTGTTGGACAGAGAGGATTTCCCTACACAGATGCAGTCCTCATAGCTTGCTGTTCCCTGGCCCTGAAACTCAGTGTCCACAAAGTGGCAGCCTGGGCTGTTATTTTGCTGCAATACTCCAGAGGGTGAGCATTTTGTCTAAGGTTGAGATCAAACCAAAATGCTATGTTCAAATTAAGTAACTGATTTTTGTATCAGTGTATGAGAACATTTGTTGTATCAGAGGGGACGTTTTGTGTCTAAGGATGTAGGAACTTAACAGACTTTACAAATTGTTGCATCATTTAACGCAAGCATCAGCACAGTTTTTGATAAAGGACCAGATAGTGAACATTCAGGGTTTGCAGGTCCTGTGTTCTGCCACTTGAGACGTGGCACACATCTCTCTTGAACTCATACAAGATTATGTGTGGACAGTTTCAAGGGGGACTCGGGGTAATTCAGTATTCACTGAATTCTCAGCCCTCTTTGCTGATTTATCAACACGGAACTATTTAGCCCCATTTAGTGATGGATGCCATCACTCCCACTGAATGATCACCCACACCAAATTTGTAGGCTTATTGGCACAGATCATCTTGGAGCCAGATCTTTGCTGAGTGATTTGACAGGACAAACACATGCAACCCTAGATTAGAGATATTCAAAAGAGTTTTGTAGCACTCAGAAGCCCAATGCAATCTGAGTGTGAACAGCCAACAATAACACATGTGACCCAGGATGAGATCGCCCTGTTCTGAATGCAACTTGTACCTTTGGAAAGAACACACGAGCCAGTCACTGCATGAAGTAGTTACCGATCAATTGGGATGACGTGTTAATTGATTCACAAGTTAAAATTCTCCACCCTTCTCTCATTATAACCAGTTGACCAAGCACGACCAAAACATGATAGTTCTTAGAATTTTGTTGAAGTTTTTAGAGAAAAAATCCATAAGCATTTCCAAATGAAAAATTGATGTAAGGACCTGAATAGCATATTTGTTTCTGTGTTTAGTGAGATTCAAAAGACTTGATCCATGCTGGTAGCTGATTTCATTGGCAGAGGCTGGCTTATAAACGTGGCTTTTCCTTCATTTATCGACCAGCTACATATGTAGCTTATATTGTCTGTATTAAGTATAGATCTACATATGCCACATAGAAGTGCCTTATATTCTCCACAAAGGCCACTTTGAAAAAGTGTCTTTTGAACTTTCTTTATGTCTAATAAAATTTGTGGGTTGGGGGCGGTGATCAGATAATGTTGTCTGAGAAGACACTAGAAAGGAAAACAGAGTGTCGAAAAAGGAACCAGGCCAGAAAGGACTCTGGGTTTTTGTCCCTGTCATCCTATTGATTCCCAAAGTGGCTACTCTTCCCAAATTCTCTTTTCGAACCCTTGGACCTGTTCACTGACCCCCGGCTTATGTCAGGGTTGTAGAAAGTCAGAATTGAGAGGAGCATCAGAAACTGTTGGCCTGTTTTCTCAATCATAGAATATATTTGTCCCATGAAAATCTTTTCAGAAGCCCAATAAGAAAAGGGAAGATGGATGGGAAGAAGAGAAAGAAAGAAAGAAGGGTGGAAGGTTTCTGATACCTCAAGTCTCTTGAGGAGGTAAATAGGGTGGGTAGGTGAGCAGGTGGCTCTTCATGGAGCACAGGAAGTGAAATTGCCGGAATTGGAAGGTTTTGGAGCACAACTGATCCATTTCTTGGTACCTAACCTTTAGTCCTCTTTTAGAAAGTTCTTTCATCCCTTGCTCTGTGAAGAGGTCTCCTTAATACATTCCTTCCTCTGAGTGGTGTTTAGCTATTCTAGTTGATAAATTAATGCCCCCACTCCAAGGCTGCTGCAGAAAAAAGCAGCTTTGAAAATAGTTAAGCACATTTTTGCAAGTCCTGGGTAATGTATTTTAAAAATCTTCATACATAGACATTCAAGCATGAATGTACAAGACATGAGTATCTGAAGGAAAACAGATCCCTGCTTCTGGATTTATCTAGTGCAGGGACTTGGCCTCAAAGTAGGTGGGTCTAATATTATGAGGGCTCACTAGGAGTGAGAACTGGAAGGAGGCAGTTACATATTTAATTTAGCTGAACGCACGGTGCCAGGAACTTTGTCCAACGATGTATATTTCACACATCCCTTCTTTCTCACATTTTCCGCCTTCAATCAATCAATTTACCCTGGATTCCAAAATGGCACTTGGGAAAGCTGCAGGTGGGAGGGGCAGAGCACATAAATCCCCACTCCCGACGGGCGTGGATCGACTTACCTGGCCGGCTGTCAGCAGCAACTGTGCAGGCAAGAAGGTAAAGAACCGCATTGCCTAATGTCATTTCGAACAATGATGGCTGCGTTAGGACATTG